AAAAAAAAAAAAAAAGATGGTAAAAATGTGGAAAAATGCATCAGTTGTAGGACTAAGTAATGATCCTGAAAAAATTAGCCAAAGAGGCTTTCTGCAATTAAAGAAAATTTAACAAATAAATAAATAAATCCTGGGCATGGCACTACAGGATAAGCATGGAACTACTAACAACAAAGGAGCTCTGGTAGCGTAGTGGTTACGAATCGGGCTGCTAACCTCACAGTGAGCAGTTCTAAACTACCAGCTGTTCTGCAGGAGGAAGATGAGGCTTTCTGCTCCCATAAAGATTTACAGACTCAGAAGTCCTGTACAGGGTGGTTATGAGTCAGAACAGACCCACAGCACATAACAACAACAACAACAACAAACTAACAACAAGATTGGTAGGTCAGACGAACCAATCTTGAATTGTTCCTCAAAAACTATGCAGGATTAGTATGAGTTGGAACAGGTTCAACAGCATACAACAAAACATCAACAACAATAAGCATATACATTTCCATATGTATGAAGTAGATCAATTTCTGCAGTTGATCAGGGTCTAACAGATACATTGACCATCAGAGAACAATGAGCACAACTGAATATCAGAGAGTCCAGAAAACAGATCTAGTTCTAGTCTTGGAAGCAAATTATGGACCAGGAATTTTAGACAAAAATGAGGAGGATTTGCAGATGGCTTTGTTGTTAGGTGCCATAAAGTCAGTACTGATTCATAGCAATCTTGTGCACAACAGAAAGAAACACTGTCAGGTCCCGTTCCAAACTCACAATCGTTGCTATGCTTAAACCCATTACTGCTACCACTGTGCAAATATATCTTGTTGGATATCTTCCTCTTTTCCACTGACCCTCTACTTTACCAAGCATGATGTCCTTCTAATGGGACTGTTCCTTCCTGAAAAAATGTCCAAAGTAGGAGAGACAAAGTCTGACCATCCTGGCTTCTAAGGAACATTCTGGCTGTACTTCTTCCAACACAGATTTGTTTGTGCTTTTGGCAATCCATGCTATGTTTAATATTCTCCAACACTGGAACTCAAATGCATCAATTCTTGTCTGGTCTTCCTTACTCATTACATATTAGTCTTAGAAGGCAAGTAATATGATAAAATATATTAGGCACCCTAGATGAGGGAGAAAGAATATGTGGACATTATTTTTCATCAAATATTTTATAGCAAGCAGCATGCACCTTTTGAAAAGACAAGTTACAATTGTTGGCAATGATATTTTTATTTGACACATAGCTGATTCAAACTGTGCATCAGAACTTCTATTAAGGCATAATTTCTGTTTTCTTCCATATGGTTTAAATAAAAGCGAATGAAATTTTTAAACAGCAGAAATATTTTGTATTGAATTGAGAGGAAACTGCTTCCTCAAATTTAAAATAACAGAGGTGAGGTTGGGGCTAGAGGGACTTGAAGATCAGAAAGCTGGAAGAGGTGATGATGAAGGTTAGTGCTCCTAACTATTTTCTTGAAGTTGTCCCAATCAAGAAATAGAATTAACAAACATACTTGGCATTGTCAGCTGTAATTGGACCAAAGAAATGCCTTTGGATAATCAGTGTACCTTAATGTTCTTAATGTGAAATACACTTATATCAATCAGGGATTTTATGAATTGCTATCATGGATTCTGTTTGGTTTTTTTCCACTTCCCTTATTATCATTTATCAGATGGAAACGTGGAAAATTGAGGAAAACAACCTTTTCTGATTTAAAAAACAATTTTTCT